CCAGAGACACAAATGGACCCCAGAAATGTCACAGTTTTGCTCCTCCTGAGCTCCCTGGAGGTTTAGTGGATTTTTAACACACTGATCTAACATCAGTCTATTTCTAACTATTTTAATTCTATTTCAGTAATGTTACTATGGAGGTAAATGTAGATACACACACACACTTTGGTACCTTTCTATCATCATCGAGATTCTTAATTAATTATGGTAATAAAAAGTCCTACATTTCAGTCGGTGAAACCTGCAGAAAGCATTGCTTTCTGAGCTTTGTTAAATGTTCCTAAAATACCTGTTAGTTGTGGATTTCTAGTATATTTTGTCAGGCTAAAACTCTCAATGGATTTATCCATTATTACAGACTTGAGCTTTCTATTTTTTTTCTTTAAAATACATATTCCTCTGCTGTAAAGATGTTGGGGTTTTTTGGACTCTTCTTTGTTGTCCCCAAATAATTGTAGCTCAGAAACAATATTGAAGTTCATTGGTTTAATTTTGAAATGTTGATGTTTTTTGTGTTGATTGTTTGTGCTCATTTTGACCTATGTTACTATTGCTTTCTACCATGTTCAATTCACCATTGTTCTGCACATATGTGCTTGCATACAAGTGTCCAGTGGTTATATTCATGAGGCATTCAAGGGACTTGTACTAAAAGATACAACTCAGTTCAGTATGAATTGCATATTTTAATGGCTGAAAATATATCTGATCTCTTTCAGAACATCACCTGTCTGTAATCCACCTGCGTAAGTACTGGTCAAGGGGCTCATCGGCTATCAAGTTACAGATTTCAGTGGCTAATAGTAAGTTTTGCCAGATCTAAAGTGACTGAATGTAGTGTTAGAGAGCTTATAGAGCTAGAGTTCAGCTAAACATTTATTTGGCCAGTCTGTTTTATTTGTCTTTATTTGTGTGGGGATGTGGAAATGTAAGGAGTGTAGTCTCTCTCTGTCTCGTAGATATGACCTGTTAAAACATTTTACACTTAAACACCGGCATATGCGACGTTATCCATGCCCACACATAGACTGTCCATGTACTTGTAAGACATGGAATGCTTTGCATATTCATTTAAGTAGAAGGATATAGACTGTGTTGACCATTCTGTACTTTTCACATATTTCTTTGGTGATATATTCATGTCTTTATTTAAACCTCTAACAGCTTCAGTTAGATGTTTAAATGAGATGTTAAACTCCATTTTAGTCATGGCATAATGAAGGGATACTAACAATTTTAAATATCTTTCAAATAGACTGCAAGCCACTGATCACTTTTGTTGTGACTTCCTTTGAATGTAGCTATGTTTTCAAGTGTGTGAACCTATACTGCTGGAGTTTTGAGATTGTTCTCATTGTTTTTTGATCTGCATATTTAGGAAGACACTGCTGAGGTCAGACGAGAGTGCATCCTCAAATGTCTGTGTGTACCTAAATGAAGATCCAGAGAAGCTGGTGAGGGAGTACATGGTATGTTAAATTCTCTTTGTGTTTACAATAGAACTCCTAAGAGTTGTTAAAATACTTTCACCAACTAAGGTCCATGAGTGACTCAATCAATGTCAGTCTTAATTTATTTATTTAATTACATGTGAATTGTCTCCCCCCAATACCCTTCCCTAACTCCCTTAGGACGTTGATGAATGAAATGGCCAAAGCCGAGACTGTCCTCGGAATCGTCATTTGAGCAGAGGCTGCCGATGTGCATCTGGATGTTGGGATTGTCCTGGAGGGGGTGGAAGTTATGAACAGCTTGGGCAGTGTATCTTCTGCAATAGTGATGCTGCTGGGACTAATCTACGCACTAAACTTGAGCTACCCTCAAGTTTAGTGCGTTCAGCACTCAACTTGCTCAGTAACTCAAGCATACCTTTGAAGTAATACAGAAAATAATAATGAAATTGGATGGAAAGAACTTATCAAAGAAAGCACAAGTTCTCAATATGAAACTCGCTGCTAAGTTGAGCAAAGTTTCATATGGAAAATGAGTGTTTAAAGTCTGCAGTAGAAAAGATTTATATTGTTACAGTTCTCTAAGTTGAGCAACTATACTGACATGTTTTATGTTGTAAAGAATTGGCTGGGAAATGAAACTGTAACCTTTTTGTAGTTGTTTTTTTATTTCAATGTCCAACTCAGCTGTGTTTTGTGCTGTGTAAAAAAACGATGTATAACAAAATACAATTGTGTTGTACCTTTTCTAATTGTTGAGTGTTCTTCCTACACTTTCACCTAGTGCTATCTTAAAATGCTTGATTAACGCTTGAAAATATGTCTTTGAATTAACGTCATGAAATAATGGAAAGGATTTTCACACGATTAACTAGCTGTCTTTTAGCATGAAGCATATTTGTTGAGCTAACTTGCTTTTAGTGAGTTGGACCTACTGAATCAGGTAGTGTGAAGGTACCACTGTAAAATAAGGTGGTTTCAACTAGATTTACATTCATCTTAATGAAGTTACATCAATGATTTGGTCCTAAACATTGCAGATCAGTTGGGCTGGCTGTATTGCATTACACTGGGTCACACTATAGTAACTCAGTTAAAGGAACCTTTAAAACATATGTTGAGCCAACACATTTCATTTGAATTTGAATAACCTTAATGAATGGAGTTGAGCCAACTCATTTGATTTACAATCATCCATTGCCTTACCATGATTCTGGTTAAGCCAACATATTTGGTTTAAATTAGAACAACCTTAATGAATTATGTTTTGCCAACTCATTTAATTTATATAAGAATAACCACAATATATTACGTTGAGCCAACATGTTTGATTTAGAATCACCAATTGAATCACCATTGTAACAAGTTGAGCCAACACATTTGCTTTACATTGGAATAATCTTAATAAATTAGGTTGACCTAACACATTTGCATTAAATAGGAGTAACACAAGTACATGGTGCTGAAATAAAGCAAAGTAATCAGGTGGAAATCCTTTCCATAATTTTTTATGTTCATCCAATGACTTATTTTTTTCAGTGTATGGGACATTAAGATCAACTGAAGCTTTTGCTTGTCTGCCCTGACAAGATTCACAGGTTCCAGGCTGGTTGCCTCAGAACCACGTGTTTCCCACAAACTCTCAGTCTATTTGAAGTCTGGACTTTTACTAGGCCAGTTATAACACCAGATGTGATCCATTTGATTGTAACTCTGGCTGTTTGTTTTGGGGTTGCTGTCTTGCTGAAAAACGAAGACATGTCTGAACAGACAGACAGACAGACAGACAGACAGACAGACAGACAGACAGAGAAATAGCAAAGACCAAAATCGCAAAAGTGTTTTTCCCCCAAAATCACTTTCGGTGTAAAACAGGCCATTATTTTAGGAAGGTGCTCATATGTATTATAATAGTATTGCACTCTGCCAGTACAGTTGAATAGGTGAGAGATAACAGAAGTAATAGTAGTAAGAAGTGTTACAGTTTATTGATGCTACATTTCCTCATTGTCTGCACACCTGCAGTAAAATGTAGTTAATAAACAGCTGCATGATTTGAATAAAGAATCAGCTTTACTGCAGCCTCAGGTCCAGCTGCCTTCTCTGTACAGTCAGCTGACTTTGAGTCAAAAACAAGTGGAACAGGACTGGCAGCATTCTGCAGCCATGCATGTCACCCAACCCACTGAGCCAGAGGCAGACATTCTGGAAATGATGCAGAGATGGCAGAAAACCTGGACTGAAGCCCAATGGCTGCTTCACCTGAGTCTCAGGTTGGGTGAAGTTTATTTCTACAGCAGCAACAAGGCAGTCCAAAGTGCTTCACACCATAAAAACACCAGATGCTTCCTCTTTCTCGGAAGTCACTCTGAAAAAAACTGGAATAACTTCCAAAATGATCAACCCTCTGATCAACAGAGCAAATTGATTTTACCACTTACAGTTATATTTATCCTTTTAACAATTTGGATGGAGAAACTTGTCAACAAATAATCCATTCTAAAGTATATTATAATTTTTTCTAGTCTATACTGTCCAACTGTCTCAAGCCGTGGGAAGAAAATAATGTGTCTGATTGGAAATGTGGAAACCGAGGCAAGGCGCTTCAACTGCGTCACAGCGCCCCCTGCTGGGTGGACAAAGGAAGCTTCTGTGTTTTTCCACTGATTTGGTAAATAAACACACCAGGAAGTGAAAAGAAAACTCGAGTGAAATGAGTGCAGTGTTACTGGTACCGCTCTGTCACACAGAAACCTCTTCCATACGTCTTCAGACTTGAATGCACTTGTGTACATGTGAACAACCCATTTTGTACACATGTACTTATTAGAATTTGAATTAGTGTTTCGTTCAAAGTGTAAAGTTTGGAGCAGAAGTGGTGTAGAATCATATTTTGGGTTTGGTCCTTTTCTTCCAGTCAAAGGAACTTAATGCTTCAGCATCCCAGTACATTTTGAACAATTACAAGCTCCTAATTTTGTGGGATCAGTTGCATAATTAATCCAGTCTGGATGTTTGTACATCAAATGCAGGAACTTTTGAAAGTCAGCACATCAGCAAGCTGACTGCGATGAAATTATGTTACTTAATAAAGTTTTTTTCTTAAATTATGACACAGAATGATGAATCAGGTGTTCTTGTATTTTTATAATCTACTTGATTTTCAGACCAGGTGAAGACCATCCATCCACAGTGTCATTTATTTTCACTCCTTGTTGTGTCAGACTCTTATGCCAGCTCTGTCCAAACTTGTCTTTGGGACTTGTGTTCCTTATATGCTTAAAGAATGGCACACAATAGCAACCAGTCACACCCTTTTTGCTTTCTCTCAGATCACACAATGACACTTCCACCGAGGCTGCCAGGCCAACTCTGGTCTCAGGATACATTATATCTGCAGTGTATCAAAGCTGACTCAGTGTCAGCAAAATGCGTTCTGATGGTCAGAGTAAAAGAGCTGTGTTTCTCTAATGAGAGGAGGTGTGGAAGTCAGAGGGGAGGAACTTGTGTAAGAATGCCACTCTTCAGGTTTAAATCCACCAACCTGACTGGTCGGACACATCACCGTAGATCAGAATCTTTCTGAATGATCACAATAGTCAGCGTTTATTGTCTCAAAGTGTGGAGGTTTTCATTCTGCTTTGCTCTGTCTTCTGACAGCATCAGATTCCCTGTGGACTCTGGAAACCTGGACTACAATGTCAGTCAACCTGAGCAAGAACGGTTCGGCTCTGATGGCCGCCTACAAGAAGGTGGTGGATGCCAAGTCGGACACGGACTGGTAAACTGGTTCTGTTGAAAACAAAAGTAACAAGACGTTCTTGTTTTCTTCAGTTCTCATCTGTTAATTTTGTGCTTTTAGGGCTTTGTTTACCTATGAAGGCAACAGTAACGACCTTCGACTGGCAGAGACAGGAGGTGAGAGGTCATGATGATCTGTGGATCTACATCGCTGTGATGTACAATAGGGAGAACAAGTATTTGATTCTGCTGCACCACTGAGTTTCCACACTTTCAGAGACTAGATAGATCTCTAAACTTTATTGTTGCTACGTCTCGACTGTGAGGGACAGAATCCAGAAGTAATTCAAAAATATCACATTGGATGAGTTTGTATTTTTCTTCTAACTGGAATTTTAGAATTTTACAGCGGTTGTGAAACTATTCATTTAGATTCACAACCGCTGTATCTAAATAACGCTGAGTGGCAGATACACTCACCAGGATTTTTTAAATGTGTGTTTTCAGCACATTGCCATTTCTCATAAACCTGCCTGTTATTGCTGAGACGTCCAGTCCAACAAGGGAACTCAAGCAACATAATCCCACTGTGCTGAGCACACTTCAGCTTCACTTTTTGGTTGAACTCTTTCTTTACAACAAGAGATCAGAGCAGTGCCCACATTGCTGCAGACAAAACACCAGTTCCTCTATCCACTGTCCCCTGCAGGCTCCCATAACTTTAGAAACTGGATTTGAGCTTTTACAATCAGAAGGATAAATTGTGAACGATGATGTCAAAAGGGCTGTTCTATAAATGCATCAGAAATCTAATGTTGCATTATAGTGGTTGTTCTCAGCCCTGCTGCTTGGGGGCTTAGGTGTTTGATTGCTGATGCACATCTTACATCTGTAATTTAAATGTCTTTTTCTTCATATCAGGTCTGCTGGAATAGGAAAACATATAAACCGTCAGGATAGTGGTCCTGCTTGGTCCAGTGTTGGAACTCACCGTATTAGAAAAACATAAGGTCGTGTTAAATAACAGACTGCTGTTCTGGTGTGTGTTCAGGTGGAGGGTTGGAGGAGTTGGTGGAGGAGCTGAACAGTGGAAAGATTATGTATGCCTTCTGTCGAGTCCCAGACCCGAACTCTGGCCTGCCTAAATATGTCCTTATAAACTGGGTGAGTCACACACACACACACACACACACACACACACACACACACACAGATTCCCATAATACAAAAGGGGAGGAAAAAGTTATTAAAATCAGTTCTATCGTAATTTTCTAACTATTACGCACACCTAATTTTAAAAAGAAAAAAAAATTGCACATATGGACAGCACTTTCCCACGAGCTGCAGCCAGGAGTCCAAACATGAGCTATTTAGAGAGGAATATTTTTTTTACTTTTATTTAAATATTTAGCAGTAACATACACTAATATGAATCGTAAATGATTTTTCAGAACAGCGTCTGTAACACGGCTGCTCAAAAACAGTACAGCAGCCTGCCAAGAAATGTCATTGACCTCTATATTCAACTTCCTTCTGCACAGAAACCACTAAGTCATCTTTAACTGGGGGATCTGCTTCTTATTTTGGGTCAGGTTGTTTGGATTGGATACTAAACCAAATCATTTGAAACTCCATTCGTCACTTATCATATTTTGTGTTAGATAAAAATTTGTTTCATGTGACAAAACATCAAAGAGTGGCAAAAAAAGCTAAAGTTAAAAAAGCTTGTAGAGCAAACACTTCACAGAACTGATTAACCTCTACAAGACAGGCTGGTTTCAGCTTTGCAGTTAATTCACAAAAACATTGTGATATAGGTTTTTATTTTCTACCAGTAGTAATGCAAAAACTGATGAAAAAACACAGATTATGACTGTTTGTCTATGTAGACTGGTGAAGGGGTGAAGGACTCTCGTAAAGGAATGTATGCCAACCATCTCAGCGCCATAGCAAATTTTTTGAAGGTAGGTGTGATTCTGCTACGTTGTGATTGGATGGTTTGAAAGCAGCTATACTTCCTGTCACCTTCCCTCTAACGTCTTGATGTGATTGATCTTAGGGAGCTCACGTTACCATAAACGCTCGCACAGAGGAGGACGTGGAGCCAGAGGCCATCTTGACTAAAGTTGCAAAAGCCTCCGGAGCCAACTTTAACTTTCACAAACAGCAAAATTACATCGATGCACCAAGAGGACCGGTGGTGAGAGGAGACTCAAAACTCCCAAGGACATACAAAACCTTAAAGTTTCTTTTGTTATCAGTCCTTCATATGTTCCATCTTTGTCAGCAAATTCACAGCTGCTGTTCAGACTTTGTTACAGACATGGTGAAATCCTAACACATGATAAATAGCCTGTACTTATTATCACTTTATCAAGTCCAGAGGACTCCAAAGCGCTTCACTCTACATTCAATCATTCATGCACACTTTCACACGCTGATGGTTGTAGCCACAGCAGTCCTGAGGGAGTCTGGCTGCTACGCACCAGCAGGCAAGACGGACACAACAAGACACAACAGCCGGAATCGAACCAGCAACCTGCCAACTGCAGAATGAAGTCCTACCACTGTCGCCACCATCATCCCATGAGTTCCAGAATAAGTTCTACTGGAAGCCTTAAGCATAAATTAAACATTTCAATTTGATGAAACCAAATACTAAACAGAGCCAGCTATAGACTGTCTAACTAAATCAAGCTGATATAGAACAACCATCTAAAGAAAGAATAAATTATACAAAAAACGTACTCATTCATAGATCGGATGATTCTCAGACCGGTTTTCCTCTGAAAAAGAGATTTTGAGGTGTTCTGTAGAATTTGCTGATACTTTTTATACAGTTCATGTTACACTGAATGACCAATGTGGAATTCTTCTTTTGAAATTGAGAACTCCTCAGGACATAATTTGATTTGTATTAAAGATAATATTTCAAGATAGTACTTGGAAATATAATTTGCACTTTAAACAGTCTTACTAAATCATAAACTTTCAGTTTTAAAAAGGTTTTGTGCTGCAACTTCAATTTTTATTTCTTGGCAATTTGCAACTTTGACTGCAACTTTACAAAAAGGTGGAGCAAAATCAGTAATTGTAGATTACTGAACAATCACAAAAAACATTGCAACATCCTGAAGAGACTGACTTTTGCTTCACGAGTGATGACTCGACCTCTACCCTTTGTTTTGACTATTCTTTTAGAGCACTAATCTTTGTGCTCAGCACTTTTTGCCGGTCAATGTGGGAATTTTCACATTTTCAACCAATTTCTCCTTTCCTTGTATTCCAGGGTTCTGTGTACAGAAAAGTCAATGCTGTGGAGGAAATCCAGCAAACCAAGAAGGATAACTTCTGGGACCAGGCTCAGGTTTGTTCCTTCATACACAACCAGCAAGTCTTACAAACACAAGCATCTGCATCTGGTATAAATGTGACCAATGTCTTTTCTCAGCGGGATGAGGAATTACGTCGAAAGGAGGAGAGAAAGAGAGGAGCAGGAGAGGCAGAAGGCAGAGAGGAAAGGAAGGAGTTGGATGAGAAACAGGCAAAAGAGAGGGAGAGAAGTACGAAGGAGAGAGCTCATCAGATTGAGCTAGAGAGGTGAGTTAGAGCTACACAGTAAGTGCAAACCAAGCAGCTAAACGCTCAGTGGGATGTTTGTGTGCTTGTACATGGCAGGAACCTTCAGAGAAAAAGAGATGAAGAGGAAAGAGAAAGGGAGCAACAGCGACCGGTGAGTTAAGCTGTTACCATTGAGCTGAACGGCTGGTAATGGAGAACTGCATATTTTGATGAAGATCTGATACCAAAGAAATACAATGCCAGTATACTGATAATGATACTTTTTGTTACTTTATTTTGATATATTATAAAATGTCTGACCCTTAGGTTTTTTGTGGTTCTTCATTTGAATTATTTTATTAAAACCTGGGATATAAATTGGACAAAGTCTATGTCAACAAAATACTTCAATAACAGATTAATATGAAAAACTAAGCAGGTGTTTGTGTATTTTTTCACAAGTAAAGTACAAAAAAAATCATTTGAGAGAGAGTCAGAACAAAATCTTTTTTCCAGGCAGCGTTAAAAAACTACAATACAAAAATAAGCGAAAGTTTCAAAACAGAACATTAAACTAAAACAGCAGACTTACTAGTATCAATCCAATACTCTTACTGGGTTGGTATTATCATTAATGTAGACTCTAGTAATCAATATGATATAGTGATTTTCGTGAGGAACCCTGAGTAGCAATGAGTTTTTATACTGGGATTGGTGGAAATGACTAAGCAGGCAGAAGGACACAATGGGGCCAGTCTGCAGCCATCACTGGACAAGAGGCCTGGTTCACCCTGGACAGAACGACAGGCCATCACAACTGATGGATCGATCAATCAATCAATCAATCAATCAATCAATTCAATCAATCAATCAATCAATCAATCAATCAATCAATCAATCATCAATCAATCAATCAATCAATCAATCAATCAATCAATCAATCAATCAATCAATCAATCAAATATGTATTGCACATTTCAGCAACAAGGCTGCTGAAATGTGCTTCAAATCATAAAAACACAAAATAAAAAGTCATAAAAACATCATACAGTCATCAATTGAGAAAACAGTGACAAACTTTACATTTTGATCTGTGCCATCATCAATGTTATCACTATAAATTAAAATGTTGGTCAATGTTCCATTTATTATGGTTGTAAAGCACCTGGACAGGTGGGCTTTCAGTCTAGAGAGAAAGAAACTCAGTGTTTCAGCTGTTTCCCAGTTTTCTGGAAGTTTGTTCCAGATGTGTGGTGCATAGAAGCTGAATGCTGCTTCTCCATGTTCTGGTTCTGGATTCTGAGCAGAGCCAGAACCAGAAGACCTAAAGAGTCTGTAAGGTTCGACAACAGCAGATCTTTAACATATTGTGGTGCTAAAACATTCAGAGATTTATAAACTAACAGTATTATAAAGTCTATTCTCTCAGTCAGAGGACTGTAACTGGTTGATGTTCTGTCTTCCTGGTTTTAGTCAGAACTCCAGCAGCAGGGTTCTGGATCAGCTGCAGCTGGAGGGTTGATTTGTCAGGCAGAACTGTAGAGTCACTGTTGCAATACCCAACAATAAAACTGCTGTTATGGCAGTATTTATCAATATTTACCAATATCATATATGGTATTTATTTCCCCAAACTTTTCACACTGTGTAAAACTCACCACAACACCTACATTGGTTTTGCATTTGTTTTTGTGTACTAATCTTTGTGCTTAGTACATTTTTCCAGGAAATGTAGAAATTGTCACAACATGTTCATTGATTTCTAATATGCTTGTATTCCAGGGTTCTGTCTACAAAAAAATCAATGCTGCAGAAGAGATCCAGCAAACTAACAAGGATAACTTCTGGGACCAGGCTCAGGTTTGTTCCTTCATACACAACCAGCAGTCTTACAGACACAAGCATCTGCATCTGGTATAAATGTGACCAATGTCTTTTCCCAGCGGGATGAGGAATTACGTCGAAAGGAGGAGAGAAAGAGAGCGGAGCAGGAGAGGCAGAAGGCAGAGAAGGAAAGGAAGGAGTTGGATGAGAAACAGGCAAAAGAGAGGGAGAGAAGAACGAAGGAGAGAGCTCATCAGATTGAGCTAGAGAGGTGAGTTAGAGCTACACAGTAACGTGCAAACCAAGCAGCTAAAGACGCTCAGTGGGGATGTTTGTGTGCTTGTACATGGCAGGAACCTTCAGAGAAAAAGAGATGAAGAGGAAAGAGAAAGGGAGCAACAGCGACTGGTGAGGAGACAAAGCAGGCTTGAACCAGAAGACCTGAGTGGTCAGGACGGTTGATACAGCAACAGGTCTTTAATGTATTTTAATGGAGACCCGTTCAGTGATTCATAAACAATTAAAAAGGCAAAAAGTATGAAAGGGCCAACTGAGGATGTGAAAACAAGACAAGTACAGTAAGTAAAGACAAGTTCAGTCTTACATGTCCACGGTGTGGATTATCTTTTCCTCATCAGTCTACCCCCAGTCAATGTTTCCTGTTATTAGAGTTATTGGGTCAGAGTGAGAGCTCCAAGGCATTTACATGTGATGGTTCAATTTTTTTCAATTCTTATGTTCTTCTTATGTTGCAGATAATGTCTTTAACTTTCCTGTTCCTGTTGTAGAATGAGCAGGAAAATTTGAAGAAGGTAACAGGGATCAATGCTGCAGCATCTGTGCAGAAAGCTAACGTGAGTATGTCTCACTAGCCGTAGCTCATTAAAAACACTTGTTTTCACTAACCTCTGAATCAGGGTATTCAAATCCCTTCCATGAACACAGGCATACAGAATCCAGCAGGTAGACATGCAGACATGCTTCTCAAACGTTTGCAAAAGAATAGGTTGCTCTCCAGAGCTCAGAAAATTCCAGCTTGGTATCATGACACAATGCCACCTGTGGAATACATCTTGAAATTTCATGACTACTAATCATTCCATCAAGCTCAGCCGTGTCATTGTGCTCTAGAGCAGATGAAAGACATGTACTCGTTAGAAATGAATTATGCCACTGTTGGGGTGTGGCAGTTGCCATCTAAACCATACTTACTAGACTGTACTGCGGAGTGGAGTTGTCTTTCAGGAGTTGGGCTTAACTCTACAGATCCAATGATAGCAACTGTTAATGCTGCAGCTAACAATGAGGTTAGGTCTTCCCGTCCAACATCAATGTCTGACCTTTCATATGCACTTCTGGAAGATGGTCAAGAACCCCCATAAAACCATGCGGATGCTATGCGACATACTTAGCATCACATTAAACCCTGTGGATCAGGAGGATGTCTTCACATGTGTGTGAAGACAGATGACTAAATATTTGAGTCAATTTGGCAATTGTTTGTGTCCAAGTCGGACTCTGCTGTTTTTCCAAATGTTTCGAGGCAGTATTATGTAAAATCAAACTTTCTGTCCTCCACATCATGTTATAAAGTTATTCCCTAATCAAAACCATACCTGGTGTGTTACCTTGGTAGTTCAGTGCATGTTTTATCTCCATGGCAACCATTCAGCTGTGCAAAACACCCACGTGCACCTCGTCAATGCAAAGCTCATCCTCTGTGAGCTTCTGCCTCACAGAGCAGCCCTCCCTCACCGAGTTCCTTCAGACTAGCCACCAGCTGTTAGCAAACTGTGCAGCCACTCAGCTCATTATAGAATCTTTAATAGAGGAGCCATGTTGTGATGACTTCCTGAAGGAGGAGTTTCAGAAAGAGCAGGAGTTTATAAAGAGACAGAGGTCCAATTTCAAGTCATTGATTCAGGAAGCAAAATTTCCTTTGTCATATTTGATATGTACTGTAAAGAATTTTTATAAAAACAGATTGTAATATAATTACATAAAAGGGCAACATGTGCAGAAAAAATACATAGTACTGCCCCTTTAACAATTCAAAACACCACTTTACCCAGTAGGATTAGAAAACAACTCCATAGTGACAAGTTCAGAACATTCTGAAATCGGAGATACAAATTGCAGTTTAAGCATCAAACTGTAAAATCATTATAATATCCAGCACTTTTTTGGATGCGTTAGATCACTTAATGGTTTGTGATTGGCTGTTTGTCTTTACATCTAAATGGACCATTGCAGATAAACTCTCCTTTAGATTTTCAGATTCTAAAAGGTCATGTGTCTTTTCCTTCACTCACAGGAGGCAAAGTCACTGATTTCTCAGAGAGCGTTCAATCCCAGAGACATCTTCAAGCAGAGGGAGCAGAGCTTTGAGGCCAACACACCATCTCCTGCTGCACCCCGACCAGGTCAGAAACACAACAAGCTGACACTCAGAGGCGGGCAGAGGAACCACAAACTGTACTCAAGTAACAGTCACAACATATTTTTACTCAAGTAACCATAAAAAATAGCCGTCCAAGAAATGACTCAAGGAAGAGTGAAACAGTATTTGGTAAAAAGTCTATTCAAGACCCAGAGTAACTGATCAATTTATCAGCCATTTAATATTTAAATGTTACATAATCAGATGGGCCAAAATATAAAGAAATTTTGGTATTTTAAGGACTAAAATGACAATAATTCATATAAGAAACAAAAAGGGAAAAAACAATAGCTAAATCCAGCAAAAGAAAAATTTTCCAAATCAATTTCTTTTAATGTAAAACATATGAAGGTTTAACAATAACTGCAGGTCTGTGTTTGTGTCTGGTGAAGTTTTGGTGAAACATGTTTATTCTTCATTCAGTGGGTAAAGAATCCAAAAGTTTTACTGAATTAAGAGTGACTTCATAATTAAATGACTCAAGTAAAAGCAGAATGTGCAGCGTAGTAAAAATACTTCTAAAGGTACATTTTTTTCAAAAGAAAGTTACTCAAGTAAATGTAATTGACTAAATATAACTAGTTACTACAGTACCTCTGCTGACACTAAACCACCTGTAGCAGAATGAATGGTTGATGTTCCTGTTTTCCCCTCAGGGAAGCTCCAAAGTGCGTTTTTGTCTCAGAAATCATTTGAGCCTGAAGAAGCGGCGAAGCCTCAGACTCCTCCGCCGGACGTCCACCACCCAGTGACCAAGACTCCTCCGCCGGATGCCCACCACCCAGTGACCAACCCCTTCTCCTCAGCCACACCTGAACTGCCTTCACTTCCTGCTGCAGCTTTCTCGCCCCGCCTCCAAGAGACGGTGACTTCACATGAGAAGCCTGCAGGTCAGACACACTTCCTGTTGAACTCTATATCTGCAGGTGTCAGTAATTTAATCATGATCACTTCCATGCAGGTATGATTAGCCTTGATCAAAATGATGTCAGCTGTCAGCAAATGGCTGCTAGAAATATTGCAGCAGTTTTCTGCACTGAACTTGTATTTTTGAATGTAACTAGTTAGTTTGTGTTTGGATAATTTGTCTTTTTGCTATGTTGAGTTGAATGTCTCACTTTTTCTCCTGTCTAAATATAGAGGACATTTCCACTGAGGAGGCAGAATGGTCAGATGAGTTTGATGATGATGCAGATGAAATGACTCCAGGTAACATCACCAAACATCATGTTGACCTCTTACAACCCAAAATGCATCATTTGTGTATTTGGGATCGGTGAGTTTGACAGGAAAACCTCAATATCAGTTCACGCCACTCACCTTTCAGGCCTCATTTAAAAGAAAGTCAACCTCTAATAAGGTTTTCTTCCAGAAATAGCACATTTAGAGTTTCCAGTGCCAGGAAACCCAGTTAGTCTGCTGTGAAATGGCATCTAATAGAAAAGAAAATAACATTTTTAATCTCCACACTGAAGGAGCCAACTGGTTAAAGAAATTGCTACTGACAATTGATGCTTACTCATGAGTTTACTGCAGCATCACTGTAAAAAGTTACACACCAACATTTAGGTTTAGCCTATCATGTAGAAAAAATGTGGGAGTTTGTTTATCAAACTCCCACATGTTATTCACATATTTATAATTATCATAGTTCCAAACTAAATATTTCATTCATAAGCAAAAATCAGTTTCTCCCACAACATACAGTGTCATTTGCGGTTGTTAAAAAATTTATAGAAATTATTTAGCAAGGCAGATTAAAGCATGACTCCAAACCAATGAGAAGAGAGACATTGTGGTTCTTCAGGTTCTTCTTCCAGACTCAACAACCTTTTGTACGACCACAGAACTCTCCTCTGGATCTGGAAAATGTTTTCTCTGTTATAACTTTGTTGCCATGTTTTTTCATTCCTGTCATTCTCCCACAGCTGAAAGTCCAGTTCAGCAGGATATGTACCAGGATCCAGATCCAGTTGGCACTGCTGACAATCTGTATGAGAATATTTACCATTATCCAACAGAGGTGAGTCTGCTCCGTGTGTCAGAGGGCGGATCATACCTGGAAACCCAGGTCTGGCTGACAGTGATGGGGTTTATGTGCTTTCAGCTTGCAGTCATGGTTTCCACATCATTTGCACAGATTTCTCTGTGTTTGGAGCCTTTAATGAAATATTTTTATGTTTTTGAATTTTAGTCTCAGGACTATAATAATCCAGATGATGGAGAACAGCAGCTGTACAGAGCCAGGGCTTTGTATGACTACCAGGCTGGTAAGGAAACACATCATGCTTGTCTTAATGTTGGGTCTGTGCTGATACCGAAGATTCTGATGCTGCTGCAGAGTTCCTTTACAGTTTACAGTTCAAACTATCCCCCACTGTTTGCTCCCTGTTCTGTTACTCCATGTTGACCCCGGTTTCATGTTCTGGGTTCCAGCTTTTGTAAATGTTTTGGACTTCATTCATGAAATTGTGGCTCATCTGTCGTCCTGTTCCACTGTCTGCACTTTGATTTTACTCCTTTATCCCACCTGACACTTTAAAGGCACTTCTCAGTAAATGTGAACCCTACAAACACCGAAGAATGAAAAAAAAAAAAAAAAACTCTAATTATTCTGGCATTTAGTAAATAGAAATAATTTTGTTGACTCCAGGTGAACTCAAGCTGAGATGTCTTTAAAGTAGTGTGTGTGAACTCCTGGTTTCATCTGTGTGTGTCCAGATTGTTGCTTGAATGTTATCTGACAGATCAGTCACAAAAGCATGCAATTCAAAAAGTTAAAGAAAACAATTAAAGATAACAGAATCTGGACTATTAAACTTTCCATTTCTTCCCCTCATACCTGGATTTGCCTGTCGTCCACAGCTGATGATACTGAGATCACCTTTGACCCCGATGACATCATAACAGAGATAGAGATGCTGGATGAAGGCTGGTGGAGAGGCTATGGACCTGATGGAAACTTCGGCCTGTTCCCTGCCAACTACGTGGAGCTCCTCAATGACTAAACAGTGGCAGTCCTGATATGAAAATGAATTATTAACTTTCTGATTGTCTTTGTTTTTCCACCCGCTTGGAAAATAAATGAATAAACTGTTACCAGAGTGAGCGTCAGTCTCACTCTGCAATGTTCCCTTAAAGGAAACTGTCTGTTTCTTGTTAAAGGTTTTGTTCAAATCAAATGAATTTGATTGCGGAAGAACAATGTTTAGTAAAAATACAACTAATCTGAAACGACTCAGGTCAACTGTTAGTTTTAAGTTCCTCAACTTAATGGACATATTTTTCACAGATTCCTTCTGTGGGAACCGTGACTTCACTTGTGCAATAAATAAAGGGCCGTTTCAGGGCAGGAATAAATGTACCATAATGCCCACCGGAAAAAGGAAAATCACCAAACAATCTGTGTTTCAAATGACATGAAATCAGACTTGTACAGGACTTTTCAAATACGCTTTACCATGAAATTAGTCATTCCCATTCATGCACACATTGACATGCTTCTGCTTTGTAGCGACAGCTGCCCTGAGGCAGTCTGGCAGAAAGGGGACTGCTGCTGCCTCCTGCTGAAGTTGGACATTAATGTACAATGTTTAGCAGAAACGTGCAGCTGTGGTTCTGTTTAAACGTGTTCTAATGTTGTTGTAGTTTCTTAGTTTGAGATATGCATGAAATAGTGTAGGGTCAATCTGGAGATGTACTTTATACCTCTTTGTTTGAATTAGGTACAGCATGCACTGTACTGTGCATGTTGCCTGGAGAAAGTAAGCAAGAATACATCAGTTTGACTGCTTAAACTATTTGCAGGTAGGCTAATAAAATTATTTTCATCTCACTGTGCAGATCACTTCTCTTCACCCGGCACAGCTCTTTGGCATCTCCAGATGTCTGAGGTTTCATTTTTAGTACAGCATCTGTGTCTAGCATTGCCTCCCATTCAGCCTGCTGCATTGTATCTTATCACCTGCCTTGATGGCTGCAGCTACATGTTATTTTCGCTAAATGAGGAAAAAAGAAAAGATATTTAATTTGTCCTTTGCATGCTAAACATGAATTTATTTTTTTTTTATGAAAAATTAGTTTTAGCTACATTTGTCTTGAAAGCAACTTGATGCCTCTCACTGATTTTATCATGAACAAAATAGTTTTCATATTCCAAGTAAGAGACGTCCACCACCCACCAAACAGCATTTATGCTTGGCCTTGGACCCCCTTTGTGAAAACACAGACAATGCCACAAAATATGAAAACAAACATAAACTTTTAGAATGATCTTTTTCACACTTTTATTCACTGTTCAACATCACATTATTTTTAACATGCTGCTTTTAGTTTCCTGTGAGTTTGTAGGGTTTTTTTCAGCAGTCTTTCAGTGAAGGACTGCTGGACGGTTTCTTCTGTCTTTTTCTTCTGAGAAACGTGTCTATTTCACACTTGCTAGCTATGCTTTTTGACTAGCAGTCAGTCAGAAAGATGAGTGTGGCAAATAACATTTCAATAAATTATTATATTATAGCTTATAATATTGATTAAAAAACAGAGTAGCTTTTATGATAAAAACATAATTAAAAGTTTATTTCTAAAGAAAAAACGAAGTCAGTATTTTTAGTTGTGCATTTTTTCCTCTTATCTTCAACATTGTGAAGATCCTGGCGGCCGCGGGCCCCTCTTGAAAAACGCTCTCAGCTCACACAGACCGACTAGTATAAAAACAAACAGAAGGTGGCAGCAGTGCGCCTTTGAGTCAGTCAGCCCGCCCAAACAAAACCACGAAGAAGAGGCAACAGGGAAACATGGCGTCAAGGTTACTGCTCCGCACCGCGTTCAGATCCGCGTCGAGCTGCCGGGCTGCCCGGGCCCCGGCTCTGAGGCGCTGCATGTCTGCTGGAGGTGAGGACGGGACTTTGGTCGACAGGAACACAGAGAAGAGCCGCTGAAATGAGAAATTAGCCGTTGTTAGAACAAATGAAATTCTTGTCGGCGGACCGCTTTCTGTTTGCTCCTTCATAGACCCGAGCTACAGGAAACTGTCCATTTCTCTTCATATCGTTCCATCTAGTTTGCTTCCTGTTCTAAAAAGCCGCAGCGTTTAATCATCAGAACAAGTATGAGCTTGTGTTTATTTCGGCTAGTTTTGAAAAACATGAAGTAGATTTTCAAATAATATTTTGGTTTCATGAGAGACGTCACATTGAATATAGAGCAAACAGCTGATGACTGGTGCTCAACATATTGCAGCTATATTTTCAGAACATATTGTGATATGTATTTGAGAGAACAGATGATGATGAGAATTGTGACGACTAAAATGGTCAACTTGTTTCACTGAATGCTTTTTGCAATGTTTTACAAACCTGGCAATAAATACACTGTCAACAGTATCAGTTGTTTTAAATCTTAAATTCTTATGACTGCCCTTCATTGTGTAACTGTTGGCATTTATATATTTCTAATGTCTGTTTTTTGTTATCTATGGGAATGTGTGCTGCCTCCTTTCTTGCCCAGGTCTCTCTTCTGAAAGAGGTTTTGATCTCAGTGATTTTAAATAAATGTCATTTAGGTTGAACACAGAAACACAATTTGTTGTTTCAAGATCTCTGACTTGAAAGAATTCTTGATTTTTACTTGAATCAAAGTAATTAAAGTGTAGCATTACATTTGCAGAACAACTTAGTTAAAAAAAACGGTTGTATGATGTCATTATTGTCACCATCACTGTATGTCACTAAAATGAATGCTGCCTGAGATACATAAGTGAATAATTTGCTGCTCCACCAGGCATTCCCACTGATGAGGAGCAGGCCACGGGACTGGAGAAGGCCATCATGAAGGCCATGAAGGAGGGAACAGTGAGTGCTATAATCAGCAGTGCAGAAACATGACATAGAAAACTATGACTCTCTGAAGGTAGCCAGATACCTAGATGATGCGCATGAATGGATGAACGAGACTCCAATCCAGCGAAACCACAGCCGAGGGAACAGGCTTGGCAGAATTAGCTGGGAAAGAAGACCCTGTTGAGCTTGTTGAGAAACGTGACATAAAAAAACCTGACAAATTAAAAAAATATTCTGTGGGGTTCTGCATGTGTAGAGTCAGGTGTATACATTTGTAGCAGGGGTTATGATTGATAAAACATGAACAAAAACAATTTCTTTTACATCTTCACATACTTAGCATCTTCCTCTTCTCCTTGCAGGATCCTTACAGCATGTTGAAGCCAAAGAGCTATGCTGGCTCCAAGTCGGACCCTCACCTGGTTCCCTCCATCACTAACAAGAGGATTGTGGGCTGCATCTGTAAGTCCTCCTGTAGCAGCTCGCTGTGGAGAATGATTACACATACACTCATAATAACAATGTTTGCCTTCATCCTCTGTGCAGGTGAGGAAGACAACACCTCCATTATCTGGTTCTGGCTTCATGAGGGCGAGCCCCAGCGCTGCCCCTCCTGTGGTGCCCATTACAAACTGGTGCCCCATCATCTCCCCCACTAGCCTCCGGCCCTGTAACCTGTACAGATTCTCCTCTGTACCCTTTTTTAGCTTTTTTTGTTGTTGTTGAAATATTCAGTCCTCCATCAGAACAAGAAGAGTGAGATTATCCACGCCCTGCAGGGTGTTTCCAGCTTGGCGTACTTCCTGGTCCACTCGTCTTGTTCTGCTATTCTACTTGATCTACCTGCTGACCTCATCAGTCTTTGCTTTACATGTTACATTTCCACACAGATATAATATGTTTGGAAGACTCAGGCAGTTTACTCTGGATTATGTACTGTACGCTATCAAAATGGGTCCACTTTAATGTTACTCAACCAATAAACATTAAGAACTCCTATGCATGTCTCTTTGGCACTATTCATTACATGTCTAATCTGATCAATATGTTACAGTTAATGGTACACATGCAAAGACATGACAGGAAGAATTGAAAGTTGCACTGTTAAGCCAGGTGTAAATATGTGCATATTAGAAAATTCCTTAAACATTCTACAATCAGATTTTACTCTCAAGCTGTTATAATAAAATAGATTCAAAGTCGTATTGTCAACCAACACATTTGTCAACAAGAAGGAGAAGCTGGGTTTTGGATTTTGCTTCAAGATGTGAGACCTGTTCTGGTTTTCCACAAAGCTTCACTCAGTGCAGCTTTCATCCCACTAAGTTCTCCTGACAAAGAGCAAGAGAACAAGATGTCAGGTTCTGGCAGTAACCCGTTTCTTGGATAATTGTTTTAATTCCATTGCGTTGGAGGAGTTTTTAACTTGTTTAAGGTAGCCTATATAATCAACTTAAAAAATATATTGATGGATAGGATGTAGACATACAAATTCTATAATTCTAGATTTTGAATGATGTACGCTGAAACAATAATCAATTATCTGCATTTACAACAGAGATAATCATTAGTGGGTGGAGTAAGTTACAGTAGATAGGGTGAAACTGCATAAATTCAAAGGCAGACCTGGAAAACTTACAAGATACAAGACATAACAGAAGATCTTTCAGAAATACAATTTATTCAGGGGCAGAATAGACAGTTCTGCCAGATTATTCAAAGTGAAACACCCAAAAAACTTGTTGCAAGAGAAGAAAATAGTGTAGATTCAAGAGAGGGTAAATCAATAATTAAAGGAAAAGAAATAGAAATACAAAAAAGATGGAATGAAAATAAGAAAGGAAGGCGATTGTAAAAAAAAGAAAAATCTAACAAGGAACTATGGAGAAATAAACAGAAGGGAAGATCTAATGATGGCAGACTGAGTAGGTTATACCTACTTAAGTAAATCTTAATTTATGACATAATATAATTTATTTATCATAATAATAAATGTGATAGTTGAGGAGACAATGAAAGTGTATTATGTTTTGATAAGCAGCATAAATGAGATAATGAAGGGAAAAGCAAAGGGAATAGAAAAAGAATGGACTTCTGATTTTAAAGAACAGAAGTGGATAAGGAGAAAATCCTGATTAAAAATAAAACATGTTTTTTGTTACATAACACAAACTGAAAACAGAATATAAGAAGGTGGAGAATGAGATTATGAAGAGCCCTGGAAGTACTTTGATGGACCAGACCAGCAGGGGGCGCGAATAAAAAAATAAAGTAGAAGAACAGCTTCTTCAGAGGAAGAAGTCCATTGGTCTTTGCTGGGTGACAACCGTACGTTGAAGGAGAAATGGCTGCAAGGTTACTGCTCCGCTCCGGGCTGAGAGCCGTGACCACCGGCCGGGCTGTCCGGGCTCCGGCTCTGAGCCGCAGCATGGCGGCTGGAGGTGAGGCCGACACGGACACAACCATTCACATAACAGACTGAAGTGTTAAGCTAGGCTAGTCCGTCTGTCCGCGGAACGTTTTCTCTTCCAAGTTCTGCCAGGACACGTTCAGTTCTTGTAGTAAAACCCCGCTGAATCTCTTAGGTTGTAATAAGTTCATTTTCTGTTTATTTTGTGTGTTCAGCTGGTTTTGAATATCCAGATGTTCTTCAATAAAGCTAGGGGCTAACCTGCTGGTTAGCATTAGTGACAGCAAAGAGGTCAAACTGGGTTCAGATAGATGAGGAGGTTCGGTGGTTCCGTTAGTCATCTGCTTCACCTTCATGATCCAAACGGGAGCTGGGTTTCTTATCGAGGGCGTTTTTATCGCTGTTATGAACATAACTGTTTGGATTTGACTCATAGTTTCTTGTAGTTCATTCATAGTTCTGTGAAATTATGCGTGAGAGGTTCTGTGGTACATCCTGAGTTTCCTCCTTTGTCATGTTGCTGCTCCCAGGCATTCCCACTGATGAGGAGCAGGCCACTGGGCTGGAGAAGGTCATCATGAAGGCCATGAAGGAGGGAAAGGTAACATCACATTACAGCTATGCTTTACACTTGGATGAAACTATATTCTGTAAAATAATTGCTTTAAGAGATAGATATATATCCTAGCTGCTTAGTTTTCAGGTTTGCTGAGCGATTGTCTTAAAAATGATTGTGATAAAGGATAATATTGTTTGAAGACCTCTTTACACTGATTTAATGGGGATTACGTAACAATGCATGCAATTGCCTGCCAAAGTTAGATGCACTTTATTTTCTAAAGAACACTTAACAATGGAACTGATAAACAAAATAAATCTTAGAACGTTGGCCGTTCTAAGATGATCAGTTACGATTTTGTAATCGTAACTGATCAGCTTGTAGTGTTGTGTTACGGTAGATCGTCATGGCCGCTCCGATCTAAATCAGACGTTTTCCCCGACTGGAAGCGAAAACGCATCCTGTTGAATGTGACGGCGCGGATTCACCTCTGTGCGTCCAAACAGCTGACACAGCGCAACTCGAAGTCCAGCGGACATTGGAGATATGTGGAAACAACATGAATGTTTATTCAACATTTCGTGCAAAGAATATAGAAATGTTCGTGTGAGTGATTATTAATTATATGCTAGGATCATAACCAGTATCACACCATGACTGAGAGAACAGTAGCTGTATCAGAGTAACTTCCCTTTTTATGTTTGGTTCTTGTGTTCAAACTTTTCCCCGTTCAGCACAGAGCTGCAACGCTCCACCAGGGCTGTTCAAGCTGAAAATGTTCTGATTCTAGTCATACTGAGCAATACGGTGGAAAATTTATCACGATACAAGTATTTCATATCAGTCAGGACTGATAATTATTGATTAGCTTTTTTATTTTAAATGTCTGAAACACAGCCAAACTGGTGATGTCACTTCCTGTTGGTCTTTAATTTTCAACGGTCATGAGGCTCTGTGATGAAACTTGAAACTGCTGCTGTGCAAGTGATGCAACAGGTTGTTGCTAGGTCACCAAAGAGTGAGTTAGGTGATGCCACTCACCATGAGAGTGACTGAAAATCAATCAATCAATGCTGAGAGATTCTGGATCAGAGTTCCACATCCAGTGCATGGATCGGCTCTCCGTTGTAATTTATTATTAGATTTATTATCTAGCCTCAGATTCCAGCTGCCAGCTGATTTCTCAGTGCGTAGCTCGTTGTTTCCATGACGCTACTTGCTCTTATCTTAATTACATCATCCATTTCTAAGAAAACCCTCTATTTGATGATGTCATGTTTTCAGAACCCTGAACCCAGCTGAGACTGAACTCCTGATGAGACCATTAGACCCACCTTCATCATCATCTTCCTCTTCTCCTTGCAGGATCCTTACAGCATGTTGAAGCCAAAGAGCTATGCTGGCTCCAAGTCGGACCCTCACCTGGTTCCCTCCATCACGAACAAGAGGGTCGTGGGCTGCATCTGTAAGTCACGATAACAGAATTCAAATACATTTCTAACATGACAGAAGCTGTTCAGGAGCCTCAGCTTCCAGACTTGTGCCTCATGTTTTTATTATCTCTGTGCAGGTGAGGAAGACAACACCTCCATCATCTGGTTCTGGCTTCATGAGGGCGAGCCCCAGCGCTGCCCCTCCTGTGGTGCCCATTACAAACTGGTGCCCCATCAACTCCCCCACTAGTTTAAAACAGTTTTTAGTAAATGTATTTACAGTACAAATTTGGCTTCTCTTTGAAATGTTCATCTTATCTCCAGACCAAGAAAACTCAAGAGTGTTTTAGGTTTTCATTGTGCTTGAAGACGCTGTCGTTTTGTTGTTTGGGCTCAGTGTATTTCCTGGTCCAATGTCGTTTATCTTGTCTGTTTTAGCACTTGATCTACCTTTTAACCTCAGCTTTGGCTTCACACGTTACATTTCCAAACAGCTCAGATGTGTTTTGGGACCTTCAGCTTCATGTTACATTTACTGTACTGTATGATGTTCCATTCAGACCACTCCTATTGTTGAGCCAATAAAGTGCTGAACTTATATTTGTGTGTGTGTGTGTGTGTGTGTGTGTGTGTGTTTGCTCCAGTTTGAGATCTGCTCAGATTTGTTTCTTCTTTTTAAATCAGATTGAAGACAATAGTTGCGTTTCCAATGACCATAAAATTGCTAATTTGACATTTTGAAAATAAAACTTGAATTATAACATGGCAATTTTGCACCAAAATTGCCATGTTAAAAAGTTTTGGCTCTGGGATAAGTTGGTTTATTTTGCAAAACTGCGATGGAAAATTTTTTGTTTGCATCATAAGTCAAAACAACTGGATGTTACTACTGGTGCAAACCACAAAGAAATAAACAGGAAGTAGCTAGATGATCAGCTTCTTTTTTGACTTGTCATGTGGATAAACTAGATATTGATGCAGTTTCCTCTGGATTTTGTTGATTCTGAATGAAACCAGTGACTGATGGGAACTAAAGTTCTGAATCAACTAGGTTCTCATTAAAACTACAAAACGTTTAACCTGGACTAAAGTGATAGTCTACATACTACTGCCTGATGCTTAGACCCAGGCAGGAGTAAAATGTGCTCTAATTATTGAGTTGAAGCAATCTGAGGAGGAAGACTCAAGTCAGCTGTAATTCCAAAGGCAGCTGATGACAGGAGATTCCCTTAAACTCTTTTGTTGATTATGACCATGGAGGTCATTTTCTCATGTAAATGTCCTAAAAATTGTAAGTTGGTCATACAGACCTTCAATTGAATATAATGGAACATATTCTTTAAGGTCCATAATCTTTATGGACTATAAAGATTATGCCTCTTTGTGATCCATAATCTGCAGTTCTATTATTCTTGCAGGTAATTTTTTTTGGATTGGTCAAATGAACTGAACATGTCATTTTAATCAAATCACTGAATATTTCACTTGCGGCGTGTTTGTGGTGTTTTTCAGTCTACCAGCAGATGGCGCTGTCTACCAAAACTTTTTGCCTTTGTTCACATGACTGTGGAAAGTTTAGACAGTTTCTCTTTCAAAC